TTTGTACCCAATTGAAGGGGGTATTCAGAGGAATTCAGTAGCAGCTTAACATAATTTCCTCTGCAATCAACAGTAAGACACTGAAATACTGCAATATAAAGAAAAGAAAGGGATTACTGAAGAAATTCATACATACATATATGTATAAAAATAATGTATTTGATATATACATATGTATATCTGAGTTGGTTGTATATGACTTCAGTAACCTCACAAAAACTATTTTCACTGTGATCAAAGCTGAATTTAAACAAAGTTGCCCTATTCAGTCCATTTCTACTCCATCTCAGATTTAGCTTCTCCTTGATGTAACTGGTATCTTTTGGCAATCATTTCTGTAGACCAGGTTGAAAACAGCCAGGTCAGCCAATATCATGGTCTTAAAATTTATCCTAGAAGTGTGAAAATGAGGTATTTCAAAGAGAAGATGTTGCTTTCAAGAATTCCCTTCTTTGACTTACCTTGGGGAAGCCTAGATTTCTGCTTCTACAGACAGGTTGTACAAGCCTCTCTCTCTTTACACTCCAGACAGAGATAAGTGGCTTTCTATAGATTTCAAGTATGTGATTAGAAACACATAGATTTATGGATTTTGAGGCCAGAGAGGTTGTTTTATTAATCTAGTCCACTCTAAATGCATAGCATGGATCAGGAAACCACTTTCAAGTACTTTCTGCTGCAAGACCAGCAGTCAATGCTGAACTAAGATCTAGCATTTAGAAACCACAGAGCAGTTTAATGCAAAGCTTAATTTTCTTTCTTTCAGGGAAAAAAACTCATCAGAACTCTTGATTGCTTGTTCCAATTAATAACTTCCTCCAGTGCTCAAACAGTCTGAACATTTCTACTTTCAATCTGTCTACCTGCAGCTTCCAAGTATTAGTTTCCAATAAGCTTTCTGCCCCCAAAGCAGAAGTTATCCTCAATTATCAAACGCCTATTCTCCTTATCAGTATTTACAAACCATGACTAAGTTCTCTCTTAACCTTCAAATTGATAAACTAGTTAGACTGAGTCCTCTGAGTCTCTCATTAAGCATAAGCTCTGATTGTTTACTTATTCCCTCAGATCTTTTCTGAACTGTTGCCTATTTATAAAACATTTTCCTTGAAGAATGGACACCTTGACCAGACATGCTATACTTTCAGCAGTTTTTGTAACAAAACAACGACAGTTCTGCATGACTTCCCACAGCAAACGGAGGAAAGACAAAGTAAAAAGAATTCACAGAATGGTAAGAAAAGAGAAATAAAAGCGGTTAAAAAGGAGGCAAAAATAACTGACAGAAGAAGGAAATGAAGTCCAAAACGGTGCAAAGTAGTACCTATCTACACATGTGGTTTACTAGTTATCTTGTCTGCTCTAAGAAGCTGACAAATGAACCTGCTACTCCTCCCTCCATTCAACTGCTTCAGGCAATTAGTGATTTCTGATGCTGATGGTTGCATGATCCTCTCTGACCGAAAAGCCAGTTTTGGAAGTAGAGCTCATCAGACCCAAAAGGCTCTAAAACAACCAACCTCCCCAGAACACAGCACCCTCCTTCCAAGCCAGCTCCACAAGAGAAGTAAGAAAGGACTGTGTTTTCTTCCCATCCCCCACCCTTGAAATACCTGCCTGGCTTCAAGGCTGGCACTGAAGGATTCAGTCAGAGTAAACAAAAGGCTCATATGCACAAAGCACGCATATGGAGCCCTGGCCTTCAGTCATCAAGCCTGGGACATCTGTGTCTTTCTCAGGATGTCTGCATGTTCAAATAATTAGTCCAAGGCCAGCTGTCCCCTTCTTGCTCTTCACCCTTTATGCTCCCATTGCTTTTACTATCACTGCCTTCCAAAGATTATTTGTCTGACAGACCAGCAAAAGATAATCGATTTCTTTCTGCTTATTCTTTGGATGGAGGGAGTAGCAGAGAACTGGTGAGGTGGTGAAGAGGAAAGACTCTTTGACTCCTCCTTCCCAGACTTCTGCACATTTCCAAGCAGGCTTTGGCCACATCAGAGGAAAGACAGAGTTGAACTCTCACATTCAGATGTTAAGAACTCCAAATGCTCGTGCTGGTACTTACAACGCAACCAACAGCAGGGAGCCTGCATGCTCTATGAGCACAGTTAGCTCGTGTATTCTGGGCCCAACTTCCTTCTCACCTAAAGCAGTTCAGTGAAATTAATGAGCCCTTCGTAATCTCAACACACTCCCTGTAATCCACTAATTTCTGAGGCCTTTCTACCAATTTGTGTCAGAGCATGCTAAAGCGCCCCTGGGAGGCAGGTCTCCAGAGCAGCAGGCTTACCCAAAGTACAGCTGAAGAAACCTAGCCCAAGTATTTACAGTTCTGTGAAAGCAACAGTGAGAACAGAACCAGGACTTCTGCTTTCATCTGTAAAATCTGTAGTTCTGCCCCAAAACAGCACTCTTAAGCAGACCCCAGCTGGAGCTGGGAAGGAAGCACTCCTCAGCCTCAATGAACGAGCCAGCACACACCGAAGCAGACAGCTTGCATGTGCAGCAAGCAGCCTCATCCTCTGAGAGGGCTGCAAGCACACGGATGAGCCATTTACTGCAGCCTGTGCTGCAGCCTGCCTGGCCATGTATCATCTCCATAGCAGCAGTTCTGTTAATTGAGACCAGCTGCTTCAACTCCAAATTCTTCTCTCCAGAAATATTGATACTACTACGTTATGATTAGAAAGCACTTTACCAAATGCCTCTCAATTTTGCACAGCTCAGATGAAGAGCAGCTGCAGAAAGAAGGGACAGTTCCCTGACTGTACAGAATAAAACAAATGCTCACTGCAAAATCACTGGAGAAATGAAGGCTGTATGAAGTAAGTCAAAATAATGATGGCAGGAGAAAGCAGTCTGCTGCATGTGCTCATGCCTGTCATTTTTGATGCTGAAAGGACTGTGAGCAGACTTCTTCCTTATGCTCTAGGATAAATGGCCACAGCACTGCAGTTTTACAGCTTCATGTGGCAGGTGTGCATATTTGTCAGATCCAGTTTTTCTGTCCAAGGACAGATTAAAGCAAAACCCATCAATCTGGGCCTGGCTTGGAATTGCTGCTGTGGTGTTGATTCTGCTCCAGGGCCTGTTCTAAACAGCCTGCTGGCAAAGAGAGTCACTGAAACCAATAAACCAGTGGGAAGATTTGTGAACTAGGAATGCCACCACACCACCATGACTTGGCTTTGTTGCTAACTGTCTCCCCGTGGCTGCTGACTCCATGCAGCAGGCTGTCAGCTGGCTGCTTGGCAATGCTCACACTGGGATTGCCGAAAGCTGAAAGCATTTTTCCCCTGTCAGCCAGGGTGGATTACACTGGCTAGGAGTACGGTCAATTCCAAATTCACTTAGAAGTCCCAAGTCCTGTCTCTGACCAACAGACACAGGGTATTCCTGAAAAGACATCTGGTTACCGTGTTTATGCAAGAACTGGGCTAACCACTTCACTCCCATCTGTTGTTCCAGCCTCCTGAGTACAGAGAACAGAATCCTTGAAAGAGAAAATCTGGCCATGAATGGTCTGAAATGAGAATCATGATACAACGCCTGGCTTCCTCCTGAGAAGGATGTTGTACAATTTTACAGAAAACATGGCACTCTTCAGCACGCGGCTGTGTAAACAAGGGCCTAACACATTCCTTCATTACGCAGATTTTCTACTACAACTGAGGTAATACAACAAAACAAAAGCAGAGAGATCACTCTGCTATGCTACGTGATTTGCCTCCTACTCTGAAAATCAATGGGGCAAATAAAATCTTTTATACTGATACCAGACAGAGTCTCTCAGCCAACATCACGCTCATGTTTTTTTAAAAGTATTCTTACTGTGTTACTCCAGAAAATATTCAAAGTTTTTAGAGTCTCACTTAGATTTTACCATTTACACACTTTGTTCATTTTCACTGTGTTCCACTCATCTAAGAGAATTTTTCTCTTCCATTGTTAGATGCAATTTTCTTACCTATTTCACTTTCTAATTTCTGGTCTATACCAGAAGACTGCTTTACTCTACAGTACTGCAGGAGACAGAATACTTCAATGGAATTCCAGAAGGGTAAATCTGAGCACATTACAGTTGAATATAAACTTTACACTAACATTCAGTGACTGTATATTCCTTTAATCTCCATTTTCTTTCCGTTCCATAAGTTGCCATACTTACTTGTGACAAAGCAGCAGGGAAAGATCTTTGTTGCGTGTGCTAGCCGGGAAGTTACCTTGATTTTGTGTGCAGATCCATTAGCACATTTTGCAGGTGACAACTTAATGGAATTCTGTTGATTGCAGAAGTTGTGCTCCCCCACCCAAGCTGAATTTAGCTTTGCTAGTCACCAAATCACATGAATAAATTCTTGTTTTGTTTTGTTTTGTTTTTTTTAATTTTTAGACTTCCAAGATCTGTCAAGTGACACTCGCATAAGGAGATGCATATCACAGGATTTGGTAAAAGCGAACAAAGCTGTTGTGAACACTACTTCATTGGACCATTGGAACTCCTTGATTGTTTCTAATAACACAGCTCTGAGGATTATTAACAGAATTACAACAGCTTAAAGCACTCATGGATCTTGGTGCATCAGATAAGGAACATATGCAGCAGGAGTGAGCAGGAGGTGCATTCAAACAACAGTTTTGCCAACCTCACATAAATCTCTTCTTAATAACACGTAAAGGCCTCAGTCCACAACATACCACAACTACTGTGCACTGCTCCTGCAGGAAAATTATGATGCCCAACACACTGCTACCCCAGTAGAGAAGCAACAGCTTTGCAGCTGACCACTAATTTTGTTCTCCAAGCACAGATATACTCCCATTTCATTTCAGCTGCCCTAGCTTCCCCCATACCTGAATTATTTTTATTATGCTCCACATAATCCTAGTATTGACAAGGATGTTTGTTAAACATAATTAAAGATATTAATTTTGCATGGAACAAAAGACACAGAGCCAAGAACTTATTTTTTTTTTTAAATCTATTAGAAAATTACCTTCATTAGCACCGACTCGCTGAGCTTCTCTCTGTTGACAATTTTTATCGCAACCTTCTGACATGTGACACAGTGAACCCCCAACTTCACAAGCCCTACAGGAGAAACAGAGCAAAACAGAAAAAAAAGAACTGGTTAGAGCTATCCACAGTTGAGACTTTTCCTAATAATACATTACTCAGTAGTAGGCAACTTATATTCAAACAAATTTCCATTAGACTCTCCCCCTACCAGATGAAGTCTTGTGAGTAATGAAGACTCTAAAGCCCACACTGTGACCACTTGGCATCTTCAATTCTACTGCAGTTTCAACCACCAAAGCTGATTTTTGTTGAAATACATTCCAGCTCTCAACCATTCAAAGACTGTTTACCAGTACAAAGTAAAATTCTGCCAGTTTAACTGCAGTAGGTTTGGCAACATCTGGCATCACTGAAAGCTCAGAAAGCGACAGAACAAGACGGTCAAGTGTGTGCACTGTGCACATTGCCACTACATTAGTTTTAGCCCTTCCCAAACCTTCCAGAGTTACAATAAAAAGCACTTCACTTGAGTTTTCTCCTGCTGTTTTGACTTACTGTGTTGCATGCTGTGCTCAATACCACAGAGGAATGGAGGAACAGAAGTACATGGTGATCGACACTAAGTTCTTCTTACTTATTAATATTTACTATATCCTTGTTCATATCTATAATCTCAAACAACTCAGTGGTGTAGATGAATGGCTGTATTTGGAAAAAGTTATGAGTATTCCCATCATGGAGTCAGATCAGAATGTCTGAGTTATCAAAAACTATGGAGTAAAACTCCAAGAATGGAAAGAAAGAGGTAAGTAACAAAATATTACTGTCTGCAGAACTTTGATCTGAATCCCGATTCACATAAAAGTACATCAACAGATCCCTCATGAGCAAGTTAAACATGGTCTCCCAAGCTCCCAAATCACCTCCATCAAAACACTTCTACCCTGAAAACCATTACTTTGTAGGCCTATTCAAGTGAGATGTTTTGCTTCAGCTCTTACTCTTGTCAAACATGGTCACACAGCACCACATCTAATAGGCTGGATTCAGTCCACTCCACAATGTGCCAAACTGCCATTTAATTTAATTCAGTTAAAACTCAAGGGAGAAATGGTACCTCGCTGGTGTCAGTAAGATCTGCTGGGCTTCACAGAGCATTTATGAGCAATGATGTTGCACAGAAAGAAGAAGTTCAGCTTGGCTTGCAGCTCCTAGGCTGGGTGGCATTAAGATCCTGACTTCATTCTCTGTCCCAAATGCCAAAGCTAAAGACATTGCTTTATCTGTAAAGTGCACACAACAGATCTGCAGCCCAGAGAAACAACAGCCATAGGACTCCACACTTCGAGGGATTAAATATGTAGACCACTACCTTACTTTAAACTGTCCCCAAAGATTTGGAGTTTCATCAGTGGCTCCAGCCATCTCCTACAGACACTTGTTCATCTTTTTGCTTCAGTTACTCACTGATGCTGAACCATTAACCACAGGTTGTTATGCCAAGGAATAACTTTCCAATTTACTTCCCGTCCTCTCTTTTTTTATGTTGTGCTCAAGTTTTCTGGATATTTCCACTCATGTAATTTTCTGCTCTTAGTTGCTTAAATGCTGACATCCTCATCTTCTGCCACTACACGAACAAGCATTAAGAATTAAGGACACAGCACACTGACAAACCCATTTGAAGCTGTGTATGGCAACAGCCTTTCATCTGCCTGAAGCAACAGATGAGCATAGCTGGGGAAAGATGCTGTGATATCCAGCCAATCTTCACCGTTACAGCTGAATTTTGTCTACTCAATATATGTATGACATCATCCTTAGCATCACAGGCTCTCTGCTCACCGCTCAGAGCAGCTGCAGCCTCCCTTCTGCAGCTTTGCTTTGGCTTTGCCCCGTTTGGGCAGTCACCGTTGGCACCCCTCTACTGTGAGCTCGCAGTGCTTCAGTCCATGCCCATTCCTTTGTTCTGCTTCCAACACAAACCACACTTCCTGCATAACTCCAAATTCCCTGCCCTTATGTTTCTAATTCTTTGCAGAACTTGTAGCTCAGCCCTTCACATCCAGACTCTAGGATACGTGACTCAGTGCTGCAGTAGAGTGTTCTACAGTCATTCTTTTGAGAGGTCACTGAAGGTGACAAACAGCTGCTTCCTGTAACTGGTCTCCCAACCTTAAGAAAGCGTACAGGCTTTTGGAATATCACACTTCAAGATTTGGTTCTAAATGTTCCTCTTCCCAAATCAAGACTCCTGTCTCACTGCACTCAGCTATCTGTAGCCCTTTTTACCCTTGCCCTCACTGAAGCATTTTGTCATTGAGTCACAGCTATCACAAACCTCTGAGATACTATCAAACCACACAGGCAATCTTCACAGTGTCATCTGCCTTTCTTGCTACTAACCCACCACAGAAACTCAGAAAACAAGATCAAACCATTCTGTTTACTCTGATAACCACTTTGTCAACGATTAGAAGACTTTAGACACCTTATAAAACCATACCAATACTGTCCCAATGATTTTACACTGATTTAATTTCATCAATCTTGAGAGGTCATTACTGATTTACAGCAGGATGCCAAAGAACAGAATGACAGAATGCACGATCTAATGTATTTTTCCTTTCTTTCCTTATTTCTGTTAAAAATTGAGAGAAAAAAATACGCTATCACTGCTGCCTGCTTTGTAGGTAAGGAATTCTAAGACAACCCTTCAAACAGTCCAAGGCAGCACTTTTCAGTATCCAAAATTCGGTGAATGTAATTTCAGGATAAAAATAAAACCCATCACTCTGCTTGTGCCTCCCTGCTTACCTCTTCCTTTTGACATATGCATGCCAATGGAGCCAAATAAAAACCTTTCACTAGACCACCTTATACACAGGCTACGGTCGGTCCTCCTGCTACTAAGAGTAAACCTTAAATGAGCTTGGGCAAGGAAGAATTTGTGCCCTGGATTTCAGTTCTGGTCCTGGCAGTTCCAGTCTACTGAGATACTGCTCACAGATGAGTTATGGTCATTTGAACTCCTGTGGGTTTCTGATGCTTAGGATGCCCTTTTACTGGCATATATAACATCAAATGTTGAGGACATATACGTATCAGTGTAATGACATATCTTTGAAGAGTCTAAGAAGCAACTACATAAGTTGAGCTACATAATTGCTGAGCTGTTATTGAAATGCAAAAAAAAAAAAAAAAGCAATGCAAGCTCAGAGACAAGTGGTTGAGCTGCTGTTTGCAGGGCTGATGATTTTTCAGTTCTCCTTTGGCTGCATACACAGCTGCTAATGAGTACCTCAAGTCTATAGCAAACTTCCCATACAGATGTGTCAACAGGTGAGGTGTGTACTCACACAGCTTATCTACACGTTCCGCCAGCAGAAGTACCTGTGTGGTCCCCTCAGAGAACAACCAAGGCTGCTAGGATGATACTTTGCTTTGGTATGGCTTAAGGCAAGTCTGCCAAGGCAGTGAGCAGGCTGCTTTGTCTTAGGAGCTGTGAACACTGAGCTGCTTCTGACCTTAGCCACTTAACTGCACAAGAAACTGCCTCATAATTTCAGGCTGAGGAGTAAAGAAGAAAAAAAGTACACACTGAAAAGCAAGGAGATGTGTAAGCTAACATTGTCTTTTGATTTATAATTAAAAGCCACAAGCTGAAAACCACTGAGCAACAGGAACTCCAGACGACACAAAGGAAAGATGGCACACAAGGAAGGGCACCAGAGCACAGGGAAGCTTGCAGGCCTGCCACATCTGAGCACAGTGCTGACCTGCTGACAGTCATGCTCATGCTGTTTTTTGCTAGGAAGTCCCACTGTGTGGATGCGTAAAGACACACAGAGCTTTCCTGAAAAGGACAGAAGCTTACGTGATAAGAAAGGGAAATATTTAGGCCTGCTATACAGGTGGACAGCCCACTCTGAAGCAGTGAATACAGGATCACTTTTTTACCCAAGAAGTGTATGTTGCAGGGATGAAGACACAAGCTTCCCTTCCACAGATGAGCACACAGCCATCCCCTTGGCAATCAGCACTGTGTCGTCTTAGCCAAGGACAGGATTTCAGAAAAGCCTGATGTAGTTCTGCCTTAGGTTGTGGTGGGAATTTCCTCTAACACATACTAAACAAAACAGAAACAGGTTGGAGCTGATGCTATTTCATAGGCATTCCACAGCAGCATGAATAGCAGCACAAGGGAACACAACTGGGGACAGGGATGCCTTGCTAATGAACCCCATTATGAGACCTAAAACTTGGTTCTTCATTACAGAAAACTGTGATCTAAAAGCAGGAGAGATCTGTTTTTCAATCCTTACAAAAGATAGAGTTTGCCAAAGATACCAGTCTGAATCAAACAGTCATTTTGAGAGAGACTAATAAACCATAAAATAACACTGTTATTTGAATGTAACGCTCGTGGTATACACAGTGTTAACAAATAACATTCCCACAGTCTTTCAGAAATGTTAAACACAAGTAATTCATTTTTGATCATAAAGCCTGTAACTACTCCAAGAACTGTATTTGCCAGTTTCAATATATGTAATTTTTGCACTGGAAAAAGGCAGCTTTTCATTTTCTTCTGAAATAAAACCAACCCAACGCCCAGCCTGTACTTCTGTCACAGGGAAACAAGGCCCTGATTCCAGACCATTTGCATGGCTCTCGTTGCTTGCTGCTCATTTCACAACAGAGCGCATTGTCAAAGAACTCATCCTGTCCAATGTTTAAGCAGAAAGCCCTGGTCTGGTTGGTACTATTTTGGCTGGATGAGCAATTAAAGCAATGTCTAGAGAGAAATATTATTCCTAACTGAGTTAGCTAATTGCCAATTAATTCATGTCAATGAATACCCAGCAAATGTTAATCTAAGCACTGCAGGACACAAACACTTGTGGTTTCCATCAGGGCACAGACTAGTACTGCTAACTATTTGAACTCAAACAGGAACAAAAATCTTAGTCTGAACAAACCCAAGAACAGTGCTTTTTTAAAGGCTCAGTGTGCCTACACAGTTTTTGCATATGAACTTTGTACACATAATCTTTATATACATGTGAGTT